GTAAATGAGGAAAGTTTATGTACTTTTAACATGTTTAATTTTTTAAACATGTTTAAAGCTATAATTCACTAATAAAAACTGAACAAATAAATATACAGAGAAATGAATAAATGCAATTAGTCGATTGACAGAATCTTAGTTGACCAAGAAGCTTTGACTGATTAGTTTAAACTACCAGTACATTGTCCCACACTGTACCTGACAGCACTAAACTTGAAGGTTAACTGTGTAATCTTTTCCTAAATGCCTCTCTTTTAAGCCTTATTTACCACCAACCGCACTCAATAAACCACCAAACTCTGGGGTTTGACAAGTGGATATTTCAGACCAAGCCTGTTATTTTAATCTCGCTGGGGTGAAGAGTAATCGAGTACCAACTGAGTACTGTACTTATTATGCTACTTGACTGTTTCTGGAGACCCTGTAATGTTACTTGTCTAAAATTAAGTGATTCATCCTGCTAATCACTCCACTATATTTACCGGTCAACTACTCACTTTCGTGTGTTCATGAGCTGTACTTATTTATATTGGAGCCACATGAGAAGCTGCTAGTTACTTTACTTTACAAGTTTATGGTATAACTTTTTTTTAACATACAGTACTGTGTATAAGTCAGAGACTATGGTCAAATGGCCGTTAAATACAAGTTATACATTTTAGGGATATATTTCTGAGGAGATTAGATATACTGCATAAGGAAATGAGAGAATGTTAAGGCAAAATAAGTGAAAATAAACAGGAGTTTCCAGAACTGGTGATCAAAAAATTAAAAGCAAAGGAAAAAATTTGATAAACAGCACTATATATATATATATATATATATATATATATATACATATATATATATATATATATATATATATACATATATACACACACACACTACAGACAAATCAAAATCAAACTCCATATCTCCTTTTTCTCGAAAAACTGAAAGCACTTGTCCTGAAAAGAATGCAATCTGTTATAAAGGCAAAGAGTGAACACTTTAAACATTGAAAAATGTGCTATTATATTTAGTTGTTGAAGCTTCTGTGTAACTTTGTGTGTTCATTTTTTAATCTAATGCTAAAAAATGAAAAACTTGTATAAAATGACTGTTTTGACTGGAAATCTAATAATGAACGATGGTCTCTGACTGTGCAGCACTAAATTTGACTGAAACATCTTCTGTATGTAAATTCAAATGAGGCAAATACATATATTGTAGTTTCTATGCACACTATGTAAATTGTAAATTGATATACTGTAGTGTAATTACAATAATACTCAAAAGATTCTGGACTTCCATGTAGCCAACCATGCAAGCTTTACCTGCTAAATTTTTGTCAAGTCTATCCGCCAAAACTGCAACTAATTTCTATCTCCTATTTAGTGTTGTATTAGCTACAAAGGACATGTTATAGCCAGAAGTTGTTGGCTTTATGCTGACACCCAGCAGCACAAAGAATCTCTGACCTCTTTTCCTGCATCCTGTTTTGAAAAAATAGAAAAAAAGCACTGATTTTGAGAGAGAGAAGACCTTTTGAGACCTTATTTAGGTCAAAAAACATGCTAAACAGGACATTCAAGAGAAATAAACTGACATGATCCAAAATAAATAAATAAATAACAAAAATGTTGACTGTCCTCTGCTTGGATTGCTACCATTTCAGTAAGTACAAACCTAGCATTGATTAGCAATCAAGCACGTTCAACTTAGAAAGGGTTCCTGATTAAGTTTCAGCTTCACAAAACCCAACAAATGCAACCGCAGTTAACTTGTTTTAGAACGGCAGTTAACAGCTTTCTCTGTTAACACAGGTTTACATCCTCTAGATATGATTAATTCTCACACACATGAACAAAGAAAGCATGATGTTTGTGATAAACAGATAATCACACGAAACATGAAGAGGAGCCAAGAGGGTTATTTTCCTAAGCAGGAAAAAGAAATGAGTCTACTTCAATATGTGGAAAGTAAAGCAGTTATAGCAGTAAAAAGCAATGCTGTAGCTACTGCTTGTTGGCACAATTAGTGCTGCACTAAATAATACCGATAAAACGTAGCAGTACACGCACTTCTGAGCCAGGAGATGGACATTAACTGAATCATGCAACGTATCAGTGGTGTGGGTTGACAAGCAGCAGCAAATATGCAGCACCAGTATTTCAAGAAGAGGCAATAGTACAGGTTAAAACACCGGTTGAAATTTTTCTGAAGATATTATTTTACCTATATGGCACAAATAAGCATAGATAACACAACGTATATACAGTGTAAATCATGCTAACTGTAGTCCTTTATCTGAATGGCTGAGCTTCTTTCAGTAATCATGCATTTCCTGCTGTGCAGTCAGTTACAGTCTGCGGTAATGTTAGTCCAGGATGTTATACAGAAAATGAACATTAGAGAGATATTTGGAAGAAACTGCCGGTCTCTTGGGGTAACAACAGCCTTTAGCTTGGGCTAACCTTTAGCCTAGCGGCCCACCATCCATTTCTGTGTCCCCTAGTTGCCTCCGTCAGTTGGCTGCATCAGCCAGCTCCATGGTCTTGGGGCCTCGCATCACGCTGAGAATCCACAGCTCACTAGTCGCTACGACTTCGATATGTATATATGTGTGTGTGTGTATACTGATAGGTCAGTATTGGGACTCAGGATCAGGTATCAGAAAAGTAAAAAAGTGGTATCTGTGCATTCCTAGGTGTAATAACTACTTTATATAATTCATATTTATGTAGTATGACTTTTTAGTAGTATATTTTAGCATTGCTTTTGCTGTAAAGCAACCTTTTTACATGACTGATGCCAAAATCGTGAAGTGGTAGCTAAGAGGTTGCTGTGCCATGTTTTTCTAAATTAAACATTAATTTAGAATTTATGACGTAGATTGGAGGCAATCTCAGTGCATATGTCCACTGTTCATTCACTGTTGTAAGACAAAAAAATACAGCGTTAAAATACAGATTAAACTTAATTAGCTGGCTAAGCAAGAAATCCTGCTTTGTGACACAGGCCTAAAGTTGTGAATTGTGTTTTTAGGAGAACAAACAGAATTTATGCACTAAAATGTGTGCAAAGCAGCTACTCTACAACACAGTCTAGGCTAACCTGTAGCTAACACTTTTTTTTTTTAGAGTTAGTCTGATGTTCCAGGCTGCTTGAAGGCAGACATGCTGACCAGTACTAGGCTATTGCCAGCTTGAAATAGCTTGAAATAGCTTGCCTATTTCAAGCTGGCAATAGCCTAGTACTGGTCAGCATGTCTGCCTTCAAGTTAGGACTTGGCTTTGTCATGTTTTCAGTAGCTGTCTAGCTGAGTTTCCAGTTGTTTGCTGTGCATATTTCTGCTTTAACATCAGCATAGTGCTTTCTCAGGGGGGAGTCACAGACAACCCTCAGTCACTTCCTGAGTAATGACCTCTGCAGCTGCAGTAACTGACCTGTAGAATTTGCTGCAGACTTCCGCTTCCTCTGACCCCAAATCCTAAAACTGTTGTCCATGAGCTTAGCACAGTAAGTGCTTTAACCAGGGAGATAATATTGACCGTAACATTCATAGATCCATTGCCAACAATGCTTTCGGAAAATCAAGCCTGGGCTTTCCTGGATGACAAACATCACTGTGTAGCTTGGCTGAACGATACCAAAGTCCGTACGGGAAGGCCAGCCATGTTGGCAATGCCATCACAAAGTTTACAACTTTAACAATGTTTACATACACTTTCAAACTATCTTATTTAAAAAAAAAAGTGAAAAACTTTTTTCATGATAACGATATGGGCCCTTTATGCAATGAGTTAATTTTACCTGGCAACAACTACTCAATTGGTGAAGGGCCTTGAACCATTATTTTTCTCTGTTCCTGACAGGCTAATGTGACAGTCCATGGAAAGCTGCTAACGCCTCTCTTCCCAAGGCACCCAGGTGACACAACCAAAGACACAGCTTCTAGCTGCTGTATATAACTGCAATTCATTTTTTTGTAAAACTTTACTGGACGGTACCATTCGTAAGGCTATATTAGACCTACATTTATAAAGGCTTATTTCAACAGACGTCATTTGTCACACACGTTGCATTTGCCAACTGTCATGATGGAGTTATGCCCTGCATTAAAGTGCTACCCATTTTTTGACCTTCCAGCCAGTTTAGGGTTATCCCCTAATTGACAAATGGACCCCCTGCTCTCTGACTCTACTGACATCTGTTTCACTCTCTAATCAAATGGTTTTGACGCTTCGAGACGGTCAAATGAGGCTAACCATGTAATGGTCAAGCCTGTTTTCACGTCCAACTCAGTGGAGGGAACATCTTGGAGATCAATACAGAGTACAGTCCTTGACTGAGCTGTACTTTCAAAACTACGTCAGCAAGTCTGGGGAAAACTTTTCACTTAAGCATTTTTGTTGCCTTGGCGCTGTTGACCCACATTCGGAATCTGAAAGGACTTTTCGGGCCACTGACTGCTCCACTCCCAGAGGAGGCGAGACCTAGTTGGAGAGTCTTTTTGAGATATGTTCACCTCCAAAACACGCCTCGTCATTTAACTTCCAGCATCCTCACACTGTCAGTAGTTTAATATTTCATATAACCTTCTTCGTGCACAATTCAAAAACGCTGAGTCACCCAGCATGACATTTATGAGGCAAAAAGTAGCAGCTGTTACAAAGAAGTGAGTTAAAAGCACAGTTCAATGCTGAACCCGTTCAACCTCGGAGACGTGACCACATTAGAAGTCTGTGTGCATCTGAAAATAACGGCCTGGTGTGACAGTTTGCAATGAGGGTAGTGATCAAGCCATTTGAGACAAAGTCGCCTTGATTATCCCTTACAATACGACAGCAATGCAGACAACAGCCTCTTAAGTGCAGGTTGAGGTGAAGGCTCCACCAAACACAGTGCAGATGGGTTTCTTAATCATCTGTTACTGTAGCTTTGTGCGTACTTGTGAAAGGACACAGGCTCGCGCACACAAGCAGCCACAGGCACATGGGCCACAGAAGACTTCTTACCTTTGATTTAGCCGTCTTTCATCATCGCTACCAAAGTCCTGAAAAAAAGGAAAACAAACAGAGGTTAAAGATCTGACAGGTCATCCATTAGGAAACATAAGACAACCCTCTGAAATAGTAGCCTATTGCAAGATCATCACTCTGAACAGGTTAAAAGAATACGCAAGCATGGGATGCATCTTATAAAACAACCTTATGAATCATCAGTTACGTCCTGAAAGGTCTCTTTCTGCCCGCATGCATTAATGCATTAATGAAGTTGCCCGCATGCATTAATGCATTAATGAAGTTGTTGCTAATAAGCCAAGACATGTCTGAAATTTGCTTCTTTACTTTTGGACTGGAGCTATATGGCTAAGGGGGTGGTTCAAATTCCAAAGGTAGAAAAATGGAGGGTGCACTGCAACTCTCAATCAGTTGTGCTAGCTAGCTATCGTTTTTCTATGCACATGCTAAAAGCCATCACTCACCCTTTCAGAAAGTGATCTACTACTAACCAGCTGCTAGTGCAGCTAGTGAAAAAAACGGTACTTTTGGCTTATGACTTGCTAATTGTGATTCCTGAAAGCATACAGTTCAGGGTGCTCAACTGCAATGGTCACAGAAGTCCGGCCTTCTTTTTGATCTGTCAATTCAGCACAGAAAAAATGTATGCTACTTGACTGCTTCAAGTTCAACTCGGGACAATTGGGACACTCTGCATAATAGACACCTACACAGGGCTGCATACAACGTGAAGCACATCCTTTCCCATTGAAAACAACAGAAACTAAGTACCATGGGCCCCCCCAGTGTAGCTGACAAGCAATGGAAGTTTATACCCTGCCAATAGGCACAGTGCAGAGTGCATGGCTAAAGCATTACATACTTGCCACAAAATGCTTCAAGTTGTTAAGTAATTGCAAAATAGACTTGCTCATGTGGTTTCTGACACTGTATGAAATCACAGCAACCATTTTCTAAAAACGCTAAGAAAACAGCAGCCATCTTGAAGCTTGAAGTTTGTCTGTACTTTTGTCCATTTTTATAGATAACAGTATGTCATTCAATATCAGAGACCACATAATCAAGTTTATTTGAGATTACTTAACAACTCAATACATTTTGAGGCAAGTCGACGATTTAGGGGGTATTCAGACAACACCTTTACAGACGCTCTCAAGTGTGCTTCTTTTCATTGTCATCTAGAAACTCGCACCACGACTGAAAAGCACTTCTCTAGCCCACACAGAGTGCCTTACGTCATCCACAGCTGACTAAATAATATCAAGGGTGCCTTCTCTTTAGTCACTCATCCAACATAAAGGAAAAGGAAGTTTTGGTTATTCTTAAACACCCAGAGCTGTAACTTACAACACTCAACACAAAGATAACTGCAATCTGAATTTCAGGCCCTGTTAACACTTGCCATTAACATGAGTCCTGGGTGATCCGATCATAAGTGGCTAGCGTTAAGTACAGGTTGCGAAATGATCAGAGACGCATATAACAACCATAACGTTTGTAGCATGAACATTAAAGGGTCCCAAGTGTCACAACCATCTTTCCTGTTTGTTTACAGGCCATGATAGCAGTCCATGTGGTCTTCACTTCTGTAAAATGTACATCCCGGTATATACAGACGAACAGGAACCCACAACACATTTTTGTCCAACAATTAATGTAGCGAGAGACTGGTGTAGTTGGCTGTATTGTTGCTCCAGTTACAAAATCCAATCATAAGTAGTCACTGGAGAGACATTCGAGAAACATGGAAATGCCATAAAATTCCTTTACTTGTCAGCTGTATTAGCCACGTAGCTCCAGCGCTGAATCAAAAACGCAAAATTAAGAGATTGAATATGTTTTGGCTAGTTGACTACCTTTATGGCAAGGAATATTTTTAAACTCAAAGTACTCCAACTTCAAGGGCTGGTTTCCTTGATCCAAATTAAGCCTAAACCTAGACTAAATAGTTAAGCCCGCTAAACATTAAAGCACAAAGTTAAAATTTTTTCCTCTTCATAAGTCCCATAATGTGTCTTTATGAACTGCTTTCTTTTACTTTTTTGCTTTGTCCCAACAAACCCAATTCACATTGTTGCAGCATAATATGATTGTGAAATCTAAACAGTGTGGAAAATAACTGCAGTCATCTCAAATAACTGTAATCATCTCAAATAATTGCAATTAGGCAATTACATAACAATTATTAAAGAACTAAAACTCATGTTGATCTATATACAGCTACAGCTAGCATTAATACAACCATCTAGACGAAACAAAAAGCAGATGCTTTAAACAGCTCCACCTGGTTTTCGGAACAATAAAGGATTCATCTGGAGGTCCCAAAAATGTCTCAGCATTAACACACAAAGGTTTTAGATGCTACAGATAAAGTGTCCTACAGATAGCAGTTTTATTACCAAGCATGTAGGCTAAATATCTCTCTCTTTCTCTCAGATATTGAAACTGTGATTTCATTTGTTGTTTAAGGCCTTTATAAGGCCGACAACATGCAATGCTAAAAAAAGGACACTGCAGAAAAAGTTCGCATCTAACCCACATTTCTGAGGAAAGAGATTTGTGAGAAAACTAAAGAATATGGACCTCACTGCACAAATGCAGCTTCATCACAACAATAACTGCTTTAAAAATAGCTCCTCATTGTGTGTAGAACAGCAAAACACTGGTGATTAGGTTACTGCCAGAAGCAGGGAACAATAGGAAACGCAGGTGAGCCAACTAAGGGCAGAGCTGTTCCACACCTGAAGGGAAGCGACTCAGCTTAAACCGAAACTGCCCGCAGGAAACACTATTCCACCCACAATGCAGCGTTCTGCCTCTGTGTTTACATGCAGAAATCCTGTTTTCTGTGCATTTGACAGAAAGGGGCATTCCAAAGATGCTTCCAAATGTCAGCATAATTTAATCACTGACATGTAAACAAAGTCATTCAGAGTGTTTTGAAGTGAAATGGGTCATTGTAGAGAAACTTACTGACTTTCTTTATGAACCAGGAGTCACAATGTCTATACAATGCAAATAAAGTCATTTTATTTACCATCCAAAATTTACTTTTATTTACCAACCAGTGAGCCTACATGTCTTCTGAGTTTTTATATGGATGTAGTGTTCATAATGGTAAAACAGTGTTTTAAGTTTTGGGAAACTATATTACTTCTCCAACATAAGTAGGTTTTACAAAACTCATTCAAGGACAAAAGCTTATCTCGGAACAAATCAGGCAGCAAATTTGTATCCATTTCTTGTAATAACTTTTTGTGAATGTATCTTCAAGAGGCATTAAATGCTTTGGACGTCTGGTTCCATGCACCACCACTCTGACTAGGTAAGTTTCTCTAGAATGAAACCATGTGACGGAGCAGCAAGAAATTCATCACAGATCTAGCCTGATGACAAAATAGCCAAATATAGAGTGATGCCAGAGGTGCGACACGAACATCGTAATCCCTTGCTTTCTCTCTCCTTCCATCTTCTATCTAGTATCTTTCCCTCTTCTCTTCATATGCCCATCACTCTCTCTCTCCTTGTGCTAAAAGGTGACATCATTGCAGCTGTGTGTTCCTCGGCTGGACTGGCGAGATTGTGCTGTGAATTTAAATGTGTGGAGCCATAAGGCAATGGAGCAGCCCCACCCTCACTAGGGACAGTCCATTTCACTCTACTGGGGGAGGAATCCCAACCCCTCCCCTAAAACTGTTATCATCCCATAGCACATCCCAAGGAGGTGGAAAGATACGCCAGCCTCATTTGGGAGCTAACAACAATGATGTCATGTGGATGACAATGGAACCTTCCATTAAGCCAGAAAACAAGGTTTATTTCCATCGAGCAAATCTGCCAGTTACTTCAGCAAAGACCTTGCAATGTCCTCCCCTACGATGATTATCCAAAGCTACTGATTACAAATCTGGTAGTCGCCACTAGTTACACGTTAACATTACTTAAGTGAATGCTGGAAAGAGGCAGTTTGCACATGACGTAAACATGGGCACGCTCATAAATTTAATACGTTATGCAACAACCACAGACCACATAATCCGTGAAGGTCCTCTGACTACACCGCAGGGGTTGATGTAATAGAATTGTGCCTATCAAGGACCTAATCCGCTTTGTTTACATTGGGGCTTGTTCCGAGCATGTGAAGCTGGCGCCCTCTACTGGTGAAATCCGCAGGGTGCTGCAAAACATCTTACAAAATAAATATGATGATGTCAGTGTTAACAGTTTGAATGTATTACCCAGCATGGAAAAATGATAATGGCTTGTACATTTTGTACGCATTTCTTGAATTATGTACATGATATAAAAGAATACTGCACTTCCTGACGGTGGCAGGAGCTGCTGTTGATATACATCTCTAAAACTGCTTTAATGAGGTTGGTGTGGTTCTACATAGAGGTAACTTAAGCACTTTTGTGCCCAGGCAAAAGCCCCAGCAGTACCAAGGCACAAAGCCTGAGCTTTAATCACTGCAAAATGGAAGCTCGGTGGTCCTCAGGGCTTTCAAATCTCTTGCTGAACAACACAGCACCCTGGTGCAAACAGAACCGATGTAAGCAGAGCCATGATGCACTTGTGTAGCATGATGACCACCACATTCACAGATACATGGGCGACAAAGGATGGGTATCATTACAGGGCACAACATGGGTAGCATCACAAACCAAAGAGAACCGTAGAGGAAGATGTGCGTTCAGAATGGTCGTGAGTGCACGCACAAGGTTAATGGAACAGGCAAATGTCAGCTTTGTGTGTGCATGCAAAGTTGTATAGGCAAATGACAGGTGTGTTTGTACTGCTGCTCTCTTTTTTGTCTGTATTCAGACGCACATGACCAAAACCTCCCTGGTCCCTGCTTTGACAGTCCCTTTTCAAAATATCCCAACTACAACCATGGCTAAACCACGGGACTTATGGCGTGCAATTCAACACATAATAGACTACACGTAAGCAAACCCTCAGGTTTGATGCCTTACATGCCTTACAACTTACAT